CCTGTTACAGAAGTCAGACTGAGAGTCAATGGCCGCCTCAAGGTTACCCGACAATTCTTGTGGCAAGTAGGGATTTGAACCTGGGTCTTGCTGTTCCTAATTCAAGAACTACATGCATTACTTGTTTTACAATAAAGCCCTGTGAAATCCAGCTGTTTTTGCATTTGTCTGTTGTAATAAGGCTTTATAATCACAGTGAGGTTGATATTTGACGTGTTCTGTGAAATTTTCTCACAGAGTTGATAATAGTTATATAGTTCATATAGTTAGCAATGTAGTTCATCGTTATGTAGTTGTAGTGATGTAGTTCATGTGGTTCATATTTATGAAATTAGTTATGTAGTTCATATTTTTTAGTCAAAAAGGACCTCCCATTTTTGGCGGCAGTGGCAAACATGTTCATGTTGTTTCAGTGTTTGGTGCTCTTTTTTCTAGTTCGGTCGCTTTTTCTTCCCAGTTTTTTGTTTTCTTTCTCTGCCCTCACTACCTTCAACTTCATTAGCTTTCACTGCCCATTCATTCGATGTGCGGTGGTAACCTGTGTGATTTTTGTCATCGACGCCATGATGTTGCATGCGAACTGCGTCAGTAATGAAATAATCAAGAGAAAATGTGCACTCCAGTTGCCCAACTAAAAGTTTTCAATGGCCCCTGCCACATGGCAGGGAAAACACTGGCCAAAGTGCGGCTTTTAAAAGCCGCACCAAAAAAGAGACGCCGCAGTGGGATCCCACGATCCCCTGAGCTGCGGCGCCATTGCTCCCCGGAACGATCAGATGCCGGGGATAAAGAGACGATTGGGAGGGGGAGGCTGCCGAACTGCGCATGCTCAAGCATGCGCAGTACGGCCGGGGGCCGGGGATGCGCTGGCGGAAAGACGTGCCGGCGATCTCACGGCTGGCAGTGATGCGGCCTTCTTTTTTGTTGCGGGGTTTGGTTGGGAGGGGCGGATTGGGAACGGGCTGGGAACGGGCACAGCACGATTCCCAGATGTTGCTGTGGGATCGCGCCCGTTTGCTGCGGCCCCGATCCGTCCCTCTCCCGGCCCATAACCTCTCGTGTCAACAGGGCCTTTCTATAGTTTTTTTAAAAAAGGACTTGTGTCAGAAAACATCCCCAGAATTCTCTTAGGCTGCAATCACACACACTAAATAATCCACTTTCAATCCTCTTTCAGTGCACTTTCCAAGTGGACTTTACTGTATGGACCGGCAAAATCCAGTTTGAAAGTGCATTGAAAGTGGATTGAGAGTGGATTTTTAGTATGTGTGATCCCAGCTTTAATTTGGGAGGGGGGGAGGAGGTTGCAGTGTTTTCAAACGATTTAAAGGTGTGGGATTTTCGGGTGTAGATTCCTGATTTTTCAGTTCAGGTTTCAGTGGCTTCTTGTATGAAGTTAAGATGGTACAGTGTTGCAAGTTCAGGTTCATATTACTAGGGTGTGAACGTTCATCCATGCCATTAACTGGATGAGTCTGGAGGAAGCCCTTGCAGCTCAACCCTAACCTACATCATACAGAAGTATGGTTGACTATATTTTCTCTCCATCAGCAGTAGGAACTCATAGCAATTTCAGAGAACTCACAGCAAATGGAGATTTCTCCCCCCCAAAGCTAGCAAGTGAATCGGCCCCGTAGATAGAAATAACATCGCATTGAAGAGAAGCTGCCTGGCTCTGCCTTTTTTCTTTTGAAAATAATCATATTATATCTCGGCGGGTCATAAAGAGCTTGATTTATTGAAGCCAATTCACGAGCCACTAAATCATTGCTGCAAAACAGCTGCATTTCACAGCTTTCCGCTTTATCCCATTAAAATTTCAAGTCTATAATATGCAATTATGTGTATACTCAAAGTGAAGATATTATTTTCTGTGCGGGGGGATAAAAAAAGGAAGTATAAATTTCTCCCCTTTAATTTGTAATATATTCAGGCTTGACAGTACTAATTTGCACTGCAAAGTAATTTGGGCGTAAAAAGTATATGTCAACACGGGGAGTAGCTGAAGCTTCGTCTCCGGGGAACCAGACTTAAATCTGTCTTGTTACCGATATGTTTGATATGCTCATCTTAATTTTTGACCCAATAGGGATAATTTATGAAATGTTTTTCTCCTTTTCCCGCAGATTTGGTCTGATCACGAGGGTAGGATAGGTAGCAAACTGTGTCTTGAGGAAGCGGAGCTGTACCGCCATAGTGCAGTCTCCTGTTGGTACCCCTTACCCTAAATCAAGGTGACCCACATTCCCTATCATCCAGTCTATAATTTATCTGGAAAAATGGGTTGGATTCAGCCAGCCTTTTCACTCAACTTACTCAGTTCTCCTTGCTACAGCCCCTCTCCCACATGACTTATGTCGATGACCTGTTGCATTTCTGGTCAACAAGGTGCCCTCCTCCTTCTTTCCCCAGTAGTTGGAACCAACCCAAATGGGCTTAATTTTCCAGATGCCTAATGGATGTCTTGAAAATTAATCTGAACTCCCAGTTAAGCCTAGAATAGGCCTCTGAGCTTTACCACACCAGTAGGCCGCAAGACAGTAATATCATGCCAGATAACACCATGGTCTCACTAGTACAGGTCAGGTGGTCCATACAGCTGTTAGTGTGTGAATAGACTGGATCCCAGTTGCCACCTCTGCCCTATAGTATGCCAAGGAGATACCAATTTTTTAAATTAAAGCCATAATATATGGTAGGCTGTTTATTGGGTTTTAAGTGTCCTTTGAGAGCCAGTTTGGTGTAGTGGTTAACTGTGCGGACTCTAATCTGGGAGAACCGGGTTTGATTCCCCACTCCTCCACTTGCAGCTGCTGGATAACCTTGGGCAAGCCATAGTTCTGTCAGAGCTGTCCTTGAAAAAGAGCACTTTCTGTCAGAGCTCTCTCAGCCCCACCTACCTCACAGGGTGTCTGTTGTGGGGAGGAGGAAGGGAAAGGAGTTTGTAAGCTGCTCTAAGACTTCGAATTAAGGACGGGGTATAAATCCAATCTCCTCCTCCTCCTCCTCCTCTTCTTCTTTTTCTCCAAAGTCTAGGTTAAATGCCCCTTACAAAAAAATAAAAAGCCATTTTGAGCCAAGAGGAAAGATGGGGGTATAAATATTTTAATTAATGAATATTAAACCATACAACACCATAAATCTGGCAACATTAGTTCAGGTTTGGGCAATGAGACTGCAAGTATAGAACATTCCCCATCATTAAAGCAAAAGCGCCAACTCCATGTAACCATGATAGATGACAGAGTCTGAGCTACTAGGGTTTCAGTGGATTGTGGACTACAGGTTTACCTCTTGGAAATATGGTCCCAAATTCTGCCCAGAATGCCTCACGGACAGCTGCCTGCGATTGATACTAACCAGCTGTAACAGTGAAAACAGAGTATGACCTCCCACGGATTATAAGGATGAGATTCAGCTTGGAACATGACGTACAAATAGGAGTAAGAATGAGATAAATCAGTTGTTCATGGAGGCAAGGGAGACTTTGGGAGCAGATGAGTGGCAATACGACAGCAAGAATGGTTCCGTGTGGCTGTAGCAAGATGGTGCAAGAAAGCGCCTGGCTGTTTTTAAGCCCCTGCCTTGTTTTATTATTGATCATCCTTATATTGCTGTTTTATGTATTTTTTAAACTTTGTGAACCACCTCAGACAGCTGTCTCTATAAATATACATATTTAAATAAACATGCAAATGTATATTCATTTACATTTTCCATACAAATCAATAAAAACAGCATTTTTAAATTACTGCTCTTATGTAGATATATCTATCCAGACATTAAGGAAAGCTTAATACAAGACAGCTCCACAATTGTACGTTTGCATTTATGTGTTCCGCAAGAAAAGTTGTATTCGTGTGAGTCTGTCATTAATTCCCCCCCCCCCCCCCCTTAGGGCTTTCCTTTATTCCCCCCCCCCCCCGCGCAATAATGCTTTGGGAAAGAGATAGTACCGTGACAGAGACAAAGCAGATTGGAACAATGAAAGAATAACAAGAGAATGACACATTCACAAAATGTTGCAATGGAAGCACTGGAACAGCTGCTCCAAAAACTAAGGCAGTGGTAGGGTTGCCAAGTGCTTTTTGAGCCGCGGCGGGGGACTCCCGGCTGGCGGCTGGAGCGCGCACGCACCGCACGCACGTCACCTGGAAGTGACGTGATGACGCCAGGCACGCTGGGGGTGGGGCCACGACCATCCGAGGGAAAACGATAGAGTTTTCCCTCAGATGACCGTGGCCCCGCCCCCAGCATGCCCGGCGTGGTCGTGTCACTTCCGGGTGATGTGCACGTCGGGGTGGGGTTCCCTCCGGGGCCCGATCCTCCGCCGGCGGGGAACAGGCCTCTGGGGTGGGGGTTTCCCCGCCCCCCGGGGGGACTTGGCAAGCCTAGGCAGTGGTTTTTGACTTGAGGGAACCTGTCCTGTGCTTGTTGGCCTGCTTTTCTTCTAAGGGGACCACTTGAAGTAAATATACATCTCGCTATGAACCTGAGGGACCACATCTCCCCATATATGTCCCAGAGAGCCTTGAGCTCTGCCGACCAAGACCTGCTGCTTGTCCCCGGCCCGAGGGACTTCCATATAGCTTTGATCAGGGTCAGGGCCCTGTGGGGCCTACTACCATTCCGCGGGGCCTGTAAAATGGAGCTGTTCTGCCGGGCTTTTGGCTGAGGTAGCGGGCGTCCAGTGAAAAAGTCGACCTCCCCTGCTGAAGTTCACCATCTCTGTGTGGCCCTGATCAATTAGATCTCAGAGACCCAGCGACACCAGCTCTGGAGACGGTGTGCACAAACAGTGCAATCTGTTTCAAATTGTAGTTCTTAACTGTTTTTAACCTGTTTACTAATGTATTTAAATTGTGATGCCGAATAGCCCTGTGATCCACCCTGAGCCCACTTGTGGGGGGGAGGGACTACACGTTTGAAAAATAAATAAATAAATGCTTACCGCCATCTCCTCAAAGGTAATATCTGTTTTCTTTCCCTTCCCCCACCAGTCTCCAAACTCCCACAGTTACCCAGATATGGAAGCTGTACCCCTGTTGCTGAACAGCATGAAGGCAGATCCAGAAGAGGACTCCTTGTCCACGGACCATTTCCAGACTCAAACTGAGCCAGTGGACTTGTCGATAAACAAAGCCCGGTCGTCCCCTATTGCTGCTTCGTCGTCACCAGTGTCCATCACTGCGTCGGCGTCGTCTCCTTCCTCTACTTCAACGTCTTCTAGTCGACCAGCATCATCGCCAACAGTAATAACGTCAGTATCTTCAGCAGCATCCGCTCCATCAGTATTAACTCCAGGCCCACTTGTGGCGTCGGCGTCGGGCGTTGGAGGGCAGCAGTTTTTGCACATAATCCATCCGGTTCCACCATCTAGCCCCATGAACCTACAGACCAACAAAATGAGTCACGTACACCGCATTCCAGTGGTGGTCCAGTCGGTACCTGTGGTCTACACAGCTGTGAGGTCACCAGGGAATGTGAACAACACTATAGTAGTACCGTTATTGGAGGATGGGAGAAGTCATGTCAAAGGTAAGAGATTCCTCATTTAAAAATTTGTTTGCATGAAGGAGGACTAAGGACAGTTTCAGGTCCTAGTGGTGTTACGAAGCTACCATTGACTTTTAAGAAATACAAGATGGCTCCTTGCCAGTCACGCTCAGATTAGTTGCATGGAGAAATGCAGGAAAAATATTCCGTTAGCCATTAAGCGAGAGAACTAGCAAGAGGGCTAGTGAATGAGCTCCTATGTTACACCGCTTGTGAGTCCTTCTTTAGCCCTTGGGTTACACCTACCCCTACTCTGAAGTTATAGATTTATAGATGATTCTCGCTGTTCTTTCTTCAGATGGGCAATTGGAAAGAACCGCTAACAGAGCTAAAAGATGACTTAATGAGATTCCATTTTAGGGAATGTCTTTTCATAAAGAAGGTAAGCCTTTTGATAGAATCTCATAGGGCCATCTCTTGCTCCTTGGTATGTCACTGATTTCACATAGCACCACGGATGGTGGCAGCGACATTTGCTATTGATAACTCTTCACGTTCCTGAATCTACCTTTGTGTTCCTGTTCCTGTGTCACGATTGGGCATTTGCCTGGTTTTTTTAAAAAATCACTAAATATTGTCATTATTTTCAGACAGTAATCAGAGCATTACAGGAAAACAACAGAAAGAATAGACACATTGATCATTATTTACGCACACACACGCAAAAAAATAGCTGACAGAGAGAAACAATGTAATAATAATTTTAAAAAACCTGTGATGAGACCAGTCCCTCCTAGTAGCCATACAGAGCGGACTGCCAGATGGTGTAGATTACGTGGGCAGGATATTCCGTGGGAGATGGCATCATGGGCGGTTCTAGTTATTTTTCCTACTGACAGCTCCTTGTGTCATAGTTCAGAGATGTCTGCAGTTACAGCAAGTGGCTAGTAGGAAATATTCTGCTTTACTGTTAAGTCTGCCCCTGATGTAGGGCTAGCGGGAAGCTGCCTGCATTCCTGTCCTAGGTAACGAATGGCACCACAGATGACTTCTTCTTCTTCTTCTTCTTCTTCTTCTTCTTCTTCTTCTTCTTCTTCTTCTTCTTCTTCTTCTTCTTCTTCTTCTTCTTCTTCTTCTTCTTCTCCTTCTCCTTCTCCTTCTCCTTCTCCTTCTCCTTCTCCTTCTCCTTCTCCTTCTCCTTACTTCTCCTCCTCCTCCTCCTCCTCCTCCTCCTCTTCCTGCTGCTGCTGCTGCTGCTGCTGCTGCTGCTGCTGCTGCTAAGTCACAGCAACCCCATAAGGTTTTCAAGGCAAGAGACATTGAGAGGTGGTTTGCCACTGCCTACCTCTCCCTTCCAAATACTAACCAGGGCTGACCCTGCTTTGCTTACGAGATTGGGCCAGCCTATGCTATTCAGGTCAGGGTGCAATTGATCCTACCACTTCAGTATCCTAACACCTCTTTCTCACGTTTGTTTTAACCAATCCTATACATGATGGGAATAAGAGGGGAAGAAGGTAGGCATAAGGTGGCTGTTTTCCATGTCCGCCCTATGGGCGCTGATAGATTCAAGCAAGGAAATTCTAAAAGATTCTTTCCCCCCCGTGCTTCCCCATTTCTTACTGTCACGCCAGTGACACGCGCACTGTTGCCTTTGACTGTAGCAACAGGCAGTTATGTATATGAATGGATTTGTTCGTAAATCTTCAGGATTTATTTGCTCTCCTCCTCGCCTGGTCTCATATGTGAAGGGAGCCGCGTGTTCTGCCTGCAGAAACAACACATTATTTGTGGGCACAGGCTGAATAATGTTAGCTTCCGAATGCACCTGTAAGAACATTTGTAGCAGTCAACAAACAAATGTTTGTCTCTCTTAGAGTCGCAATTCCTGAACCGTGTTGGCAGGCCGCAGCAGGTTACTGTGACAGCTCGGAGGGGTACCAAGAGAAATACATGAATTAAATTATCAGAGAATCCCACCACAGAGGAGGTTGCCTGCTGGGTCTCTGTATGATTCATTAACTCAGTACCTTGTATAATTTCCTATCAGCCTCTACTGGAGGCAGGTTATTCTAGTGCATCGCAGTATCACTCGCGACAGGAATACCTGTCGTAAGAGGAGGCATGCATTAGCACTTAGAAGAAGAGATTGGATGTATACCTCACCCTTCACTTGGAGTCTCAGAGGGGCTTACAATCTCCTGCACAACAAGACACCCTGTAAGGTAGGTGGGGCTGAGAGGGCTCTGAGAGAACAGCTCTGAAGGAACTTGTGACTGACCCAAGGTCACACCAGCAGCTGCATGTGAAGGAGCGGGAATTCAGACCCAGTTCTCCCAGATTAGAGTCCGTGCTCCTAACCACTACACCGGACTGGCTTCTTACATGAAGGCCTAACTACACATTACGCTTTCCCCAGCTTTGACCCTGGGTCTGGCAGACAAATGAGGTCTGGCAATTCTGCCCTCAGAACACTGTTCCTATGCATGGGGAGGCCTGATTTGGGGTCCGGACCATGACCTCTGCAGGGGGAACCTGCGTCTTCCTGTCCCCCGCTCTGTGCCATTTCCCCTACCTGAAAATGGCAAAGAGGAAGCCACGGTTTGTTCTGTTTCCCAGAGGGGAAAGATGGCATCTCCACGGGACTGTTCCAGGTTGGGAAAATGGAACAGAATCAGAGAATCACAGAGTCAGATTCTCTGGCCATCTGGTGCACTCCCCTGCTCGATGCAGGAGCAGCCTAGAGCATCCCTGACAAGTCTTGGTCCAGCCACTACTCACAAGGTAGAATTTTTGCTCACAAGACTCCACAGCTTAGAGGGAGCATTGCTGGCAAGCCAAAATCTACTGGGCTGAGAGTTTGCTATAACCCCTCAATGCTGTGCGAGAGAGAAATACTACAAGCAGCGCCCAGTGTGGTGCTGGTTGGTCAATTCCATCACATCCGCTTAGCCTGCAGTCGGAAACCCTGTGCTGCGTTTGTTCTCTGGCGATCAGCGGCGGCATGATAAGGAAGAATAGTTATTTAGAATGAACTAAGCAGTCCCAAGCAATGCTCGCTCTAAGCTGTGGAGCCTTGTGAGCAAAAAAATCTACTTTGTGAGCAACTGGCATTAAAGTTGTGAGCGAGGGATTTGGCTGCTGCATAAATCAGTTTGCTCCGGAGCCTTCCTTCCTGAGCTAAGACAAAAATGTGTGAGCCGGAGGCTAAAAGACTGTGAGCTAGCTCACACTAAGCTTAGAGGGAACACTGGTCCCAAGCAGGTTGATCTAGCTACAGGGCAGCTGGAAAGTAAATCTTGAGAGCTGGATCCAGGTTAAATTTTCTGCTGCAAGGCCCCCTGGTTTGTATCTCTTTCTCTCCGGGGGGGGGGTCTCCTCTCCCCCAGAAGCAGCACCTCAGGGAGATCGGTGGGCTGCAGCGAGGGGTGTGTGTGGCAGGAACATTCTGTCCCTCTGCCAGAAGACCGGAAATGTTCGTCTGGAGGCACTCCTGTGTTTCACAGTCAGAGGTGCACCAGAGCCCTGACCTGGATGGCCCAGCCTTGACTGACCTCGTCGGATCTCTGAAGCTAAGCAGGGTCATTCCTGGTTAGTATTTGGATGGGAGACCACACCACGGAAGTCCAGGGTTACCACACAGAGGCAGGTGATGGCGAACCCACTCTGAATATCTCTTGCCTTGAAAGCCCCAAGGGGGGGGGTCTCCTTAGGTTGGCTGTGACTTGATGGCAACCCCCCCCAAAAAAGCACCACAGTGCCTCTTGCACTGTCCAGCCCCGTTCGCCATATTGTGCTGCCTGTACCAAGCAAGCAGATCAGGCAGAGCTTGACAAGATTTCCCAAATCAAACTAGGTACCTGCTACTCTAGTATTTTATGCTCGTTTCCAGGGGTCATTTCGTAGAAAAAGAATTGCGGGTGCTCATTAGCATAATTCATTAGCATAACTTATTTGCATATGCCACACCCCCTGACATCACCGGAAGTGTGTCAGAAGGCAACACCCACTGCTCAGGCTCCACTGGACTTGGAATGTGCAGATCTGTCCTCGCAGAGGAGGGAGAGCTTGTACCTGAATAAAACTTGGTCTTAAAGGTGCCACTGGACTGTTTTCGACCGGGGGGCCAGGGGGAGCTCTGCAACTTAGCTGGCTGCTTCTTGCTCTGACTGAGGGCTGCTGGGAGCAGGGGGTGGGGCTTGTTGCATGTGCCCGCCCCCTGGGCTCTTTACTGCCGGAGCTCCGCTCCTGTGCACTCCTGCAGGAAATGACCCCTGCTCGTTTCCATCTTCTTCAAACCCCACGCTTTCCCTTAAGGCTGTCTCTCCTTGGTGTTAGTAACAATTGATTGGCACAGTAATGAGATAATACGGAGAACAAGAAAAACTGTGAAAAAGTGAAGCTTAATATATGTCTTTGAAGAATCATAGAAAAGTGAACAAAAATAATATACATAATCATAGAAAAATACATTGACGGTGATCTTTATGAGCATTACAATCATCTTAGCCCGTGGCAGGTTCTACTACACATTACAGCTGTTGTGAATAGTGAAAATCTTCCTTGATAATTGTGAGACGTCACCAGAGGATATGAATCTCTGAGAGACATTTTTTGTCCTACATCTTTGTTCAGAAGAAGATCTTCCTTCGAAATGGCAAGATATTCCGGAGATCACCGTCAATATATTTTTCTATGATTATGTATATTATTTTTGTTCACTATTCTATGATTCTTTAAAGACGTATATTAAGCGTCACTTTTTCTCCTTGGTGTTAGCCAAGACAGCAGGTGTGAACACTGGTACCTCCCCCCCCCCCCCAGGAAGACACCCACCCTCTGGCCCAACGGGG